AAGACTCCAATTGATGTAAATCTTCATCTTGCAAAGAATAAAGGCGAAAGTCAGTTTCAATTGGACTATTTTAGCGTATTGGGAAACTTAATGTATGTCATGAATTGTACACGACCAAACATAGTTTGCGCTATCAGTAAACTGAGTCAATACACAAGTAATCCTAATCATAATCATTGGTTGGCAATGAAGAGAGTTTTGGGATACTTAGCTGAAACTCAAAACTATGCTTTACATTACAACAGATATCCAGCCGTTCTTGAAGTATATAGTGATGCAAATTAGATTACTGGATCAACTGAAACAAAATCCACAAGTGGATACGTTTTTACTATTTGTGGAGGAGCAATATCTTGGAGATCATCCAAAAAACATGTATAGCTCGCTGTACAATGGAGTCTGAATTCATTGTTTTAGACAAGGCAGGTGAAGAAGCTGAATGGCTCCGGAATTTCTTAGAAGATATTCCATTTTGGCCCAAACCAATGGCTCCTATATGCATACATTGTGATAGTCAAGCTGCAATAGGAAGGGGCTGGAAGCATTATGTATAACGGCAAGTCTCGTCACATAAGACGAAGACATAACTCTGTGAGACAACTACTCTCTAGTGGAATTATCACAATTGACTATGTGAAGTCAAAAGGTAATGTGTCGGATCCACTTACAAAAGGCCTAAATAGAGCAGGAGTTGAGAAATCATCGACGGGAAGGGGACTATGGCCGAGAACAAGTCATCGTGGCGGTAACTCTACCTAGAAGACTTGAGATCCCAAGATCTAGGTTCAAGGAGATAAAACAAAGTCATTGATGACGGTTCAACATTGTCAAAGAAAAAAAATATTATTATTATTTTATGGTCCATTCTCATGATGAGACAATGTTTAGTAACCAGGATAAAGACATAAGCACTTTTTAATGGTTTCTAAGTTTGATACAGGGAATATCAAATGGTGTATCTATGGGATAACACATTTAGAAATCACCTATGTAAGTGTGAAGTGTAAGCCGCTTCAAGGAGAATCCGGTAAGGCCAGTTCTTTAAGCACTTACTATCTAAGATGTGTTCATGGCTGAAGCGAACAAAACAATGAGAACTAAGAACAGTTCAAGGGTTGATTATGTGACATATATTGTCTAGGTATACATCAAAGCTCGACGGTTCAAAGATATCAAATCTACCGATTGACCGAGTATATCCGATATATGTTCAGTACGGAAAGTTTAAAGGGAAACCTACTTATCCAGATGCGATTAACATTTACCTACAAGACACACAAGTTTTTTCATGCATATGTTTTAACAATAGCCTTCCCCATTCATGTGGGGGATTGTTGGATTTTAGCAAGTGTGAATGGGAAAAGAAAAGAGAGAATATCAAAAGTGAGGGAACTACTTTGGAGGAAAAATGAAAAGTCATTTGCAAAGTGCAAATGAAAAGTCATTTCTTTGGATTTGGATTTGGCAAATGATGTGATTGATTGATAAATTTTTTGGACAAAATTTATTTAATCAATTTTTGTTAAATCAAATAAATCATGTTAATATTATCTCTTATAAATTTGCGGGTAACGGTAACATTCCGAAAAGTCGTTACTTTTCCGAAAAGTCGCTACTTTTCCGAAAAGTCGTTACTTTCCAAAAAGTAGTTATTTTCCTAACAGACACAATTTTTCGAAAAGTTGTTATTTTTTTCCAAAAGACACAACTTTCTGCATAAAATGGGTCTGAACATATTTCACTGAACAGACATGTTCCTTATTGAAAATGGCTATAAAAGGAAGTCAATTTTTGATTTTTTTAATCACTGAAAATTTTTCTTTCTCTGCATTTATTTTTCTCTCAAATAAAATCAAAGTGTCGATCGACTGAGTCTGTGTGACTTGTTGCTGTTCTTAAGTTCGTTGAAGTTAAAAAAGTTTGAGGTACCACTATTTCTTTAACAGGTTTAATCCGTTTTATCTTGGGAGAAATTAATCCATAAACTTGGGTACAGTGAGGGAATAAAATTTCTTAAGGACACACAGTAGTTTCTGTGGACTCGGATTAATTCTTGTATTCTATATTATTTTCTGCTTCATCTTATTTCTGTTTCTGTTTATGTTTATTAACTTTATAAATACAAGTTATTGTAAGAATAACATGGTTCTCCTAATTTGCTCAACAAATCTCTAACTTAACTCAAGAAATATCTCAATTGTGAAAGGTAATTTCAATTATTTAGTGATATTTATGTTGATTTTGTTTTTAAAACCACTGATTATCCTGTATTTTGAATTTTATATGTTAAAAGTTTTACATCAACTTTTAAGATTCTTATGTGAATTTGGTTAGATAATCATCAAATATTTATGTGTTTGAGATTTTCAGTCTTTTAAACAATTCTTTTCAATTTTCTTGTGATTTTGTTTTAATATGTCAGAATAGTAAAATGTGAGTTTTGTTAGATAATGATCAAATATTTATGTATTTTAGATTTTTAGTCTTTTAGACAATTTTTTTCGAAAAACATGATGAAGACCAAGGTGAAGAACAATTTCCTATTAGTTTGTTTTGTATTTATAATTTCTTTTAGCATTTTGTATTATTTCTCAATTTGTATTCAAACCATTATATATAATTTTAATATTTGTATTCATCCAAAATTTCATGTTGCATAATTTATGAATCTTGTATTTGTTCTTAATTTGTATTCATCATAAAGGTATGCTAACTAGTTATGTATTTTATTTAAAGGAAGAACAACTTTCAATTAGTTTGTTTTGTTTTTATAGTTTTTTTTTCTTTAGAATTTTGTATATGTAATGACCCTTTGGGTCGTTTCGTGTGTTAAAACCTTATGTTTCATAAAATACTTTCCGATAACGACCCTTTGGGTTGTTTCGTGCGTTAAAACCTTATGTTTCATAAAATACTTTTCGATATATTCTAAGTGAATATTTTAGACTATTAAAAATTATAATTATGAAATTAGTGGGGTAGCTTTTAATAGTTATTTAGTTGGTGGTTAAGAAAAGTAATATTAGAAGTAAGGTGGATCACTTTTACTATTTTTCTAATTGGTTATATAATAATTAGGGTAGTAACTGATCTGTAGAAAGGAAGAAAATTAAAAAAAAAAAGGGGGGATGCGCTGCGCGATTGAGAACAACCAACTCTAGAAATAATTTCAGGTGAGATTTCTCTTAAATTTTCTTGTTACATGTATTATATGTGTAGTTGAATTGTGATTAGTATCCGAGTCGTGATGTAAGAGAATTATGTACTGCAACTGTAGTAATATAGGGATGAATTGTCGTTGAATCGTAAGAAAAATTGTGGGTATTATTTTTTGTCGCATTAGATTGAATAATTGGTTGAAAATTTTGATAGAAATTGTGATTTCTTTTGGCTACGTGGCCTGACAATCATCGAGAACAAATATCCAAGTGACCCACTTTAGGATAATGATAAGAATTGTTAAGGGTTAAAGGAATAGGTGTTATATGTGCATATGATGCAATATTTAGTGGGGAAATTAACGAAAAACTAAAGTAATGGGGGCAATGGTTAACTTTCTGGTTTATTTAAATTATTGTTTATTAAATTAAGATTGGATTGTAGTTGGGAGAATTAGTTACGGTACTGGCTGATTTTGGTTCCATTCATATTATTATTGGTAACTCGTAAGTTATGAAGAATTAGTAATTGTTAATTAACATGTAGGGGTGCAGATTATACTAGATTATAACATATTCATATAAGAATTGTATTAGAATGTAGTGTGTTGGTTGAAAGAAATTGACATATTGATAACTTATGCTGTAAATTGATCAGAAATATTACATTTACTGGTTTTAACATTCAAAATGTGAAAAACATCATTAGGATCAAATCATATTACATAGAAAACTACACGCAACATATATTATTAATGTATCATACTAAATATATTACAAACAAATTATATATCATTAAAAATATTAACATATAAATTGAAAACATTCCTTTTATTATCAGATCTTTTAACTTTAAAGTTGAAACTATTCTTTATTTTGTAATTTTTCATTACCGCCTTCAGAGTTGACTTATACTTATACATTTGATTCTCTTCCACAACTGAATTATTGGTGTCTGATATATACTTATCAACATCCATTTTCGGTATGTAATATGCATTATCAATTGATGATTTAACAATATTGAGAGCCTTTACGTCGCTTTTTTCACCCTCAACACACATGATGTCACATGTTATTGCATCGAAATTTATTATCTCTTCAACACCTTTATCTGAAGTATCAATCCGTAAAGAATAAGTTTCGAACCGAGACTCATGTTTCTTAATTTCTATATACAATTTTACACCCATATCAGTCCGGATACACAATGGAGACGAATTCCCTTCAACAACATATCTAATCTCTATATTTTTTTTCTATTTGTCAATACTCAGCTCAACCGCAATTGCTGAAATAAGGTTCATGAACAAAATATTTTCACCAACCACATCACTTTTGTATCGCTCATATATAATATCACTTTTCCATATTTCAGAATGTCACAACACGATCGAAATATTCATCTTTAAAAGTTCAGAATAAGCGTTCTAGAGATTTTTTTACACAAAATTGTTTTTTTTTTCTGATTCAGAATCTGAATTTTTTAATATTATGAAATTGAATAATGCAATAAATTAGTACGTTTTTATGCAGATTTGACGGTAAACTTGTTAAAAATTAACGTAAATCATGGGAAAATTGTTACCTTTTTTTTTGCGCCGTAACAGTTAACATAAAAAAAATTAAAGTATCCGTATCATTTTGTTTTATGAAGTATTCGAATTTCTCAAAAAGAAGGAATTTTTGATAAATATTAATATTATAGGGATAAAATGTAATTTGTCATTTACAATATGTCATTTACCTAATTTTTATTAAAATAAATTACTTTGATATTTGTCCTACTTTAATAAATTAAAAGTGACTTTTAACCCATCCAAACAGGTTCTTCCTTCCTCACTCCCCAATTACTACTTCCCTTCAATTCACTTGACTCTATAAATAGAAAATGTCCTTCACTTGTAACCCTAACTCTCTCTAATCTTCCCCTTTTGCCTAAAAAATGGGTGTGATGATTGAATATGTATTGAGCTGGTTTACGCCCACTGTTCTCTTCTGCGTGTTGAATCTCGCCATTGCTACTCTTCTCATTACTTCCACCTTCAGAAATACTAGTAATGACAAGAAACAAGAGGCCAGTGAAGATCAACTCCCTACAACTCCATCTCTGCTACAGCGTGTGAGGTCTGTAAACTTTTCTTTATTCCCAGATCCATTTATTTATTCCCCTTTAACTACTCATTATAATTTCCCCCAAAACAGTCCCTCTTTGCTTCAGCGAGTCCGTTCTATCAATTTCTCTTTCTCTTCCCAAAAACCCACCCCACCATTTCCATCTCTCGATGAACAACAAGTAGAAGATTTGAAATGTCACGTGACAAGAAGCAAATCTGTCACGTGCGCTGAGGAGGAGAAAAAAGTAGGGAATCATCATCGTCGTGGTGGTGGTGGAGGGAGGAAGTTGTTTAGGGATGAGGAAGAAGATGCAGTTGATAAGAAAGCAGATGATTTTATAAACAAGTTTCGGGAGGAATTGAAGATGCAAAGACTTCAATCTATGGAAATGTTGAATAGAGGAGTCTCCATTTAAGACATATATGATAATCATTTCTTTTCTCTCTAATTCAAAACTCAAAACATGTCTGTCTCTTTATTTAATTGTATTCTTTTACTATTTTAATTACTTATGATAAAAGTAAGTGGCAATTTTTATGTTTATATCATGCTTAAAAACTTCAATGCTTTCTAACTTTCTAAATCTTGTCAAGCCTACATTTTGGACAACTTAAGTCAAACTAGTTCTCCTTTGGCAATTCAAGCACAAGATATATATATATATATATATATATATATATATATATATATATATATATATATATATATGTTCTCCTCTTTAGATCCAAAACTTTTAAGAGAAGTAGTTGAAAGTACAAACCACAAAAAGTCTCTGACTTCTTCAAACTGAACTAATTTCAAACAAAATTAAAAAATCAATATAGTATTAATCATTAGAAAAAGTTGTTCAGATTTTAAACACATTCCATTTAAAAATTGTGAATTTGAGATGTAAAAGGGGTGGGAGCTTCTATAGCTAGAAATAATAATAATAATAATATAGTATGCAAATAAATCATGAATATTCTTTTTAATACTTTATGAGCCCAGATTTTATTTTCCTTTTTGTACAATATAATTTTATTTTTGTGTTTTGAGGAGGAACTTGGGTATTAGGAATAAGCTTTCTTTCCTATGTCTAGATGCGAGGGAATCTATAAGGAAGTTTGGTGGTTCGATGTATACAATATAGTTTATTGTTGTTTTCTACTTTGTTTTAAAACAGAAATTATGTTTTTTTTTTTTTGGTTATATAAAGCTGCCAAATATTGTTCTACTCACAAATCACGTGTTGAGGCATACAATGAGAATAGTTAGCTAGAGAAGGAGAGCAGAGACACGAAAACAAAGACAACTTGGTGGGTGTACACGTTAAATGTTGTCCTTGTCCTTGTCCTTGGTAAATAGTGTTTCTTTCTTTTCAATTTGGGCGATACTTTTTGTTTCAATTTATGTGATACACTTCGTTTTAAGAGAGTTTAACTGTTTAAATTGTCACGATTTGAATCTATACGCTGAACGTGGTCGGCACTCGAAAACTATTATTGGTCCTCAAGTGAACCCTTATCATGACTGACTACAAGCGGAAGACTAACTCAAACATACACAAGAATCAAATTAAAAGAAACGTTTTAAAAATAATTTATTGAATCTCAAAACTTTGTTGAATATACTAAGTACGAAACATAAGTTTTAAATAAAATATGTCCCACGACTCCAACTCAGTGAGGATCACTAGTGAAACGCCCTCAAAATGAATTAGGATAAACTAGAGCTTCACATGAGTTTCTTAAGTTCATAACTTGTTAAATTAATGAGAAATAATATCTAAGGGCAAGCTTGAGTGATTTCAAAGTCAAACGCCAAGGAACGACAAGACATTCAAAAACTAGTCTTTTGTGTGCTAGTGTGTTCTAGTGTGTTGTTCATGTTTTGGTCTGTCGTTTGGTGTTTAAAATGATGGGAGGTGGCCCTAGCATATAGATGGTCGTGTTTAGGATCAATCACCAAACTCAAACTCTTCCATCCCGAAGAGATCTCCCAAGAACACCATTTAAGGTCTAGGTCAAATTCAAGCTATGAGAAGGGGTTTTAAGTGATTTTTTCTTCAATTTTCGTGGGCTTCTTAATACTAAGGTATGGTGATCCTTCATTCTTGAATAACCTCTCATTCAAGGAGTCCAATTCAAAGGTTTTCAAAGGTGCATCATGATCAATTTTCTCAATTTATCTTCCATGCATGAGTTCATTGTTAAAATATTTTCTAAGTCATGATATTGATGTATTAATGTTGAATCAAGTTTTTAAAGATGATTTTTTAATGAAATTCCTTGAATAACCCATGTTTTGTCCAAATCTCCTTAATTGACTTATGAAGTGGATTTTGTGATCGTGGTTTCATGTTGATAAAATTGCACCTAAAATTGAGTAGTATTGTTGGTTCCTATTGTTATCTGTCACTATCCATATCTAAATATGATGAATTGTTGAAAACTAAGAAAGGGTGATCATGGCTTGGATGAAGGATAAGTTGACCTAAATTGTTCTCATTCTTATTGAATTGCTCTTGTGTGGTATGGACCACTTATGGTGGCGGTGTTTAGCTATTGTATATGAATATGTATGTCTATTGTGCTTATGGCCTTGAAGGCATTGAATGTGAAGTAGAGTAATGTTATAATGCATATGTATAAAGATGTAATATAAAGTTATGCATGTGATTCTTGAAGATATAGTATGACTATGGGAGTATAATGTGAATGTGAAGTATGTTGTGTGTGGATTATGATGAATGTAGTATGAGCATGTTTAGAAGACAATTTCATGAACGATAGTGGTTATGTGAAAGACTTTCACACACACATGAAAGAATGAATGAAGCTAATGAAAATGTAATGAAGATGGGTATATTGAAAGGTTTTCTAAGAGCTCTAATGAATGAATGGGGGATGTTGGGATGAACATTTTCCCGTGATTAGAGGTGCAGTGTCTAGAAGCAATTTCAATATTTCTAAGAGTTTTTCAATAAATGAATGACAGGTTGGGATGATATTTTTTCTGTGAGTAGAGGTAGAGTACTTAGTAGCAATCTCTTAACCTATAGATAATGAATGTAATGAAAGTCTAATACTCCATGGAGATTAATGCTTAGCACTGAAAGAATATGATAGAGGTGAGTACTCTTTCGTGGGTAGAGGTCGGGTACTTAGTAACAACTTCTTGATACGGGTACTCTCCGTTAGTAGAGGTGTAGTATCTAGAAGCAATTTTCTTATCCCTTAACTATGCGCCTGCGTAAGACTAGCTAGCCTAAAAGAATGATCCTACCTTAGGCAAGTGGGATCCCTCATCCGGTAAGGGTTAATATCAGGATTCCATGTTAAGCTCTCATGGTCTATGTCAGTAAAATCTTAGCCCCACAAAACAATGTAATGTACTAGGTATTCCTAAGGGTGTACTACTTAGGTTGGTGGTGGAATGGGACACCATCTATGCGTTGCGCAAGTAGGCATTTGAAGGGAGTCTTGATGTCTCCTTGTACTGTTAATGAATGAATGAGTTTCTATATGATGTTAATGAAGTAAGTTGATTTTAAGTCTAATGTTAATGAAGTATGTTGATTTTATGTCTAATGTTGATGAAAGTTATGTGACTTGTTGAATGTGATGTGCCTAGTCTAGGGTGGTTCCAAAGGAGCACTAAGTGGGAGTAGTAGAATGGGATGCTACTTTCACACTGCACTAGTGTAACTTAGAGTTATCCTAAGGGATGGTCTTTATGTGAAGTTCTTAAATGTATGAATGTTTCCTCTAGTATCTCTAGTATTGAATGTTGACTTGTTGAGTTATGTTGGAAAGGAAATATCCTTATCTTTGATAGTCTTAAGGAACACTTAAGGGTGTATTGAAAAGGTGGTATGGGTGGTCTCTTCATGTCTTACCTAGATGGGTCTGGGACAACCTTGGATAGATGTTCTAATGGTTAAATGGGTTACTTAATGAATATGGTCATATGTTGTGGTTTATGGGAGTATTACCTCGTATATTGGTGATTGACTTGTATGATGTCTTTTACACTAGGTTCATGAAGTTTTATTCAAAATAGCATGAAAAACATATTTCAACTAAAATGTCCTCTTTAAAGCATGTTTTTGCATGATTGTCATACTTAGTGCTTAATTATACTAATTTCATATTTTCCTATATTTTTCTACTAAGACCATCTCCAACCCCACTCTATTTTACTCTTTGTTCTCTATATTTGGAGAGTAAAATAGAGAATGGTCTCTCCAATCACCCTCCATTTCACTCTTTATTCTCTCTCTATATATCGTTGAATAGTAGTTCTCCAAATTTGGAGAACTACTATTCACACTCTCTATTTCACTTTTTTATTATTTTATTATTATTTTTATTATTTTGTATTTAACATAATTGTTCATATAAGGTTATGAGTTAAATCTCTAAATTTGAAATTCTATTTAAACGTAATATGATATTTTTTAAAAAATGTGTATTATTTAATATATTCTACATAGATTCCGAATTAATAATATTCATTTTTTAAATATTTTTATCAATTTAATATAATTTGATTTTATTATTTATTATCACTATAAAGAATGCACAATCTTAAATGGTCTACAATTGTTCAAAATATTTGTACTTTACATTCTCAAAAGAAGAAATATTACGCGTTGAAACAATAATTGAGCCAAAAAGATGTTCAACGTACATTCGGAGGTTTGCAATCACGTTTTGCAATTATCGTAGGATAAAAAGCAAAAAAAAAGAGGAAGTGCTACATGATATAATGACTACATGTATTGTATTGCACAACATGAAAATTGAGGATGAACATAATCTTAATGCATCAATTCAAGATGTCGTAGAGTTTCCAATTACAACGACAAAAATGGTGGTAGATGAATATCTTCGATTTAAACAACTTTTAGCTAGAAATAGAAAAAAAATATGGACAAAAATGCTCATTTTGAACTCCATAATGCGTTAATAGAGCATTTATGTGAGCAACGTAATAATTTTGAAAGTTGAGTAAAAATGTAATGCTTGTATAATCGTATTTCATTAATTATTTCACTTTTATTTGAATTGTTCATTTATTTGTATATTATATAATATTTGCTTTTAAGGCATGTTACTTAAAATTTAGAATAAAATATAATTTTATATTAAAAAAAGTATTTGTAAAAACAAAAATTTATTTTCTATGAAAATTATATAAAAATGATTATTTTGAGAAAAAAAGAAAGAAGGATTTATATTATGAAATAAGAAAATAAGAATGAAATAAAAATAATAATATAATATTGAAGAGAGAAAAAGAGTTTTTTTTAGAGAGTTACATAGAGGAATTGGGTTGGAGTTGGTTGTCCGAAAAAATAGAGAACTCTATATTCAGAGAGTGAAATAGAGTGCATGGTTGGAGATGCCCTAAGTGTAGGTGTTGGCAAGAGAGGTGATCTTAGAGTTGAAGCTTGGAAAGTAGATTTCTCTCAAGATTTGAGTATGTCCTCATATGTCGAGGACAAGACTCCTTGTTACTAGTTTTCCTTTATTAAAAACATTTGTATAAGACTTGTA